CGGTCCCATCTTCTTTTAGTTCAAGGAACTTTTATTCCCATATAGGTTTGATGATTTTCTTCCATTCTTGGCTTCTCTCCCCGCTGTGATCCTGGTTAGGATCACAGACCCTGAGTCTCCTGGGTTCATCTCCCTTAGACCTCATGCTTTTCTTGGCTTCATCTCTTTGTCCTTCTGCATCGGGTCTCAGTCAATCATTTTCTGAACTGGGGGTCATGGTGTCAGCTCTTCTGCCTTCAGGGTCTGTCATGCAGACTGTCATTGAGTTTCGTATGTTCAGAGTGTCATGATTTCAGTCTCCAGAAACCCAAGGTGTTTTCCTTTCTTCTCCTTCTCCTTTTTGTTAGCACTCTCTTCTTGTTTCATGGAGTAACGACCTCTTTGTTTCCTGCATCATTGTTTGTTTAGACTTTGCTTCTCTGTCATGCTGTGATTTCTTCATGTATCTGAGGACCCTTAGTTGTTGTTCACGTTTTTAAGTGAGGGTCTAAATTGTTTGGCTTTCATTGCTGAAAGGTTCTCTGCGTGTAGACACGTGTATTCTTCTCACAGAGCAGACACTGGGGCTCTCAGGAGGAGGCCTTGTCTGCTGCTGGCTAAGTACAGGGGCTTTGGTTCATTTTGGCAACCAGAACTTCCTGGGGTGAGGTCTCTTTCTCTCCATACTAGGACCCAGTCTGGGAGCCTCCTGGGCCACCCCTGCCCTGCCTAGCTCTTCTGCTGGACTCAGGGCACCAGGCGGTTCTTCTTTAGAACTCAACCCTCAGTTAAAGGCGCCTGAGTGCCCATGGCCGTCCTCCTGTGCTGTCCCTGTGTCGGGTCTCCGGGAAAAACCATTTGTCTTCAGTCCTGCTTCTGCCTCTCTTTCTGTTGAATTTTACAGTCAAGAAAGCCTGATCTTTCTGTCTTGCCTGTCCCAGAAAATCCTTAGTGGCCTGGTCTGCAGACGGCATATGCCTGTTTTCTCTCACTGTTCTGGCACCATTCATTTTTGTTTGGATGAAGGGGAGATGGAGGCATTGGCGAGTAGCCAGCCCAAATAGGGCTTAGGCTTTTAAAAAAAATTTACCAAGAGAAAATTCACAAACCATGAAGCTCACCTGCTGCAAGGACATATTCCATTTGTTTTTAGCATATTCCCAGTGTTTCTCAGCCATCACCAATATATAATTTTAAAACATTCCCCCCTCCAAAAAATCATACCAGTCAGCACCATTCCCCATGTACCCCTCCCCCAGCCTCAGGCACCTACTCATCTACTTTCTTTCTCCGTAGATTTGCCCATTCTGAGCCTTTCATACAAACAGAATCCCACCAGGTTTTATACCAGGGATGCAGGGATGGTTTAACATTCACAATTCAACAAATATGATACACCACATAAACAGAACTAAAAACAAAAATCACATGATCATCTTAATAGAGGCAGAAAAAGCTTTTGACAAAATCCAGCATCTCTATGATTAAAACTCTCAGCAAAATCAACATCCAAGGGATACACCTCAATGCAATAAAAGCCGTCTATGACAAACCCACAGCCAACATAACACTGAGTGGGGAGAAGTTGAAAGCACTCCCTCTGAGAACTGGAAAAAGATAGGGATGCCCACTCTCACCTCTTCTCTTCAATATAGTATTGGAAGTCCTAGCCAGAGCAATCAGACAAGATAAAGAAATAAAAGGCATCCAGATCAGTTCAGAGGAAGTCAAACTGTCACTGTTTGCTGATGATATGATTGTACACCTAGAAAACCCCAAAGACTCCTACAAAAAGCTCCTAGAACTGATAAAAGAATTCAGCAAAGTTTCCAGATACAAAATTAATGTACACAAATCAGTAGCTCTCCTATACACCAACAGCACCTAAGCTGAGAATCAAATCAAGAACTCAATCCCTTTAACAATAGCTGCAAAAAAATAAAATACTCAGGAATATACCTAACCAAGGAGGTGAAAGACCTCACAAGGGAAACTACAAAGCACTGCTAAAAGAAATCATAGACAACAAACAAACAGAAACACATCCCATGCTCATGGATGGGTAGAATCAATATTGTGAAAATGACCATAGTGCCAAAAGCAATTCAATGCAATTCCCATCAAAATGCCACCATCATTCATCACCGAATTACAAAAAAAATTCTATAATTCATATGGAACCAAAAAAGGGCCCGCATAGCCAAAGCAAGACTAAGCAAAAAGAACAAATCTGGAGGAATCACATTACCTGATTTCAAACTATACTATAAAGCCACAGTCACCAAAACAGCATTGGTATAAAAATAGTCACATAGACCAATGGAACAGAATAGAGAACCCAGAAATAAACCCAAATACTTACAGCCAACTGATCTTTGACAAAGCAAACAAAAATGTAAAGTGGGGAAAGGACACTCTATTCAATAAACGGTGCTGGGATAATTGGCAAGCCACATGTAGGAGAATGAAACCGGATCCTCGTCTCTCACCTTATACAAAAATCAACTCAAGATGGATCAAGGACTTAAATCCAAGACCTGAAACTATAAAAATTCTAGAAGATAACATTGAAACACCCTTTCTAGACATTGGCTTAGGCAAGGATTTCATGACCAAGAACCCAAATGCAAATGCAATAAAAACAAAGATAAATAGCTGAGACTTAATTAAACTAAAGCACTTTTGCATGGCTAAAGAAAGAGTCATCAGAGCAAACAGACAACCCACAGAGTGGGAGAAAATCTTCACAATCTATACATCTGACAAAGGACTAATATCCAGAACCTACAACAAACTCAAACAAATTAGCAAGAAAAAAACAAACAATCCCATCAAAAAGTGGGCTAAGGAAGTGAACGGACAATTCTCAAAAGAAGATATACAAATGGCCAACAAACATATGAAAAAAGCTCAACATCACTAATGATGAAGGAAATGCAAATCAAAACCACAATGGGATACCACCTTACTCTTGCAAGAATGGCCATAATCAAAAAATCAAAAAAGAATAGATGGTGGCAAGGATGTGGTGACAAGGGAACACTTCTACACTCCTGGTGGGAATTTAAACGAGTACAACCACTGTGGAAAACAGTATGGAGATTCCTTAAAGAACTAAAATACCATTTGATCCAGCAAATCCACTACTGGGTATCTACCCAGAGGAAAAGAAGTCATTATACAAAAAAGATACTTACACACACATGTTTACAGCAGCACAATTCGCAATTGTAAAAATGTGGAACCAACCCAAATTCCCATCAATCAACGAGTGGATAAAGAAACTGAGATATATATATATATAATAGAATACTACTCAGTAATAAAAATAAATGAATTAATGGCATTCACAGAAATCTGGATGAGATTGGAAATTATTATTCTAAGTGAAGTAACTCAGGAATGGAAAACCAAACATCATATGTTTTCACTCATAAGTGGGAGCTAAGCTATGAGGATATAAAGGCATAAGAATGACACAATGGACTTTGGGGACTCAGGGGGAAAGGGTGGGAAGGGGGTGAGGGATAAAAAACTACAAATAGGGTGCAGTGTATACTGCTCAAATGATGGGTGCACCACAATCTCACAAATCACCACTAAATTACTAATCCATGTAACCAAACACCACCTGTTCCCCAATAACCTAAATAAAATATAAAATAAAAATATAAAATAAAAAAACCCAAATAGAATGTCACCACATGTGGGCTCTCACTGAGCATCATGCTTTCAAGGCTCATGCATGTTGTAGCCTGCGTCAGTATTGGATTCCTTTTCATGGCTGAATAATATTCCCCAAGGGAATGGGCCACAGTTTGCTTGTGCGGATGGGCTGTGTTTTGCTTTGTCCTCTGATGGACATTTAGGCTCTTTCCACTTCTTGGCTACTGTTAGTCATGCTGTGTACATGGGTACACCAGTCTTTGGCTGCTGTCAGTGGTGCTGTATACATGGGTGCACAAATCTGTGTGTGGACATTTGTTTCATTCCTCTGGGGTAGACGCCTAGAACTGGAGTGGCAGGATCACAGGGTCACTTCGTGAGTGACCATTTTGAAGGACGGTTTTCCAAGGTGCTTTCACTTGGGGTTGAAGCTCTGATGAAGCAGAAGACACATTGAATGAGGACCCAGAGCAGGGGTCAGAGGTGAGACCTGGACACCAGGAGGTGTCCTCCCTGGGGATGGCCAGACAGGCTGGGTCCTGTCAGAGCCTTGGACGAGGGCAGGTGGGGACAATGACAAACATGGAGGAGGTCAGAGAGCCAGCCCCGGGCCCTCCTTCCGGCTCTCTGTTCTGACCCTGTGGCCATCAGTGGGCACAGTGAGGCGGGTGGGATTCAGACATGCATATGTGGGGAGCCCCTCCCCAGGATGGCCCTGGAGCCCTAGGATGAAGGCTCCGCCCCCGCCAGCTACCCGGAGAACCAGGGCGGGAAGCAAACATCTCTGTCCCTGGAGGCCCTCATTTGTCCCTTCATGGGGACCTGGCTTTGCTTCTAAAGAGGTGGACGAGGCTGTGTCAGTTTGGCCTCCGGCCCGGGGAACGGCTGCTGCTGGGTGGTCTGTCCTGGGTGGTCTGCCTCGAGGGGAGTGAGGGAGGTGGCTGTGCTGACCACAGTGAACTCTGTCGGGTGGGACTCCGGGAGGTCCTGATGCTGGGGCTGGAGGCCTCTGGCATTGACATGCAAGGGTCATTTGCTGGGGCAGTAGCCAGACCTGGGCTCCTAAATGCGCACAGCAACCAGGCAGAAAGAGTGTGGCGGCTCGTAACACTCGCCCACCGCGGCATCCGGTACCACGTCTGAGTGCCAGAGCAGAAGGTGGCAGGCAGAGCTAAGGGCTATTTGGGAGAGAGCTGGGAGGCTGGGGGTGTGGGGACAGGGTCCTCGGGGTCAGAGTTCAGGACCACAGGATCAGGAGGGAGCCAGGACCCTGAATCTCTAGGCGAGGCTGCATGGGGCAGGGGGGCCGCAGGCTTGGTTAGTGGGTGCCATGGTCCCTGCCCATCTGTGCTCTCGCCAGCGATGCCTGAGCAATGGGTATTCAAGAACCCCATGAAGAACCCCAGGCTTCTGGGCTCAAGTCCTGGGGGAGGGGCTGTCCCACGTCTTACTGTGGAGGAGACGAGGGCTGCAGGGATGGGCACTGTGGTCCATAGCTGGTCTCCCCAGGGGTAACAGGACCGGTGAGGCTGCTGGGTGGAGCCAGGCCCCGGGTGGGCTACCCCAGTCCTGAGGGGCAGCCATGGAGCTGGGGAGGGTGAATGTGGCTCAGGGGCCCAGAGCTGCTGCCAGGGTCCACTTTGTCCCAAAACTCCTGGCCTTGGTTCCAGAGGCAGCTTCCCTAAGATGGGCTGGGGCGTCACGTGCTGGGGCTGGGGGCCCACGGGGCTAAGAGGGAGCCTGGCCTTCAGGGTTCACAGAGGCCAGCACCAGGCGCATTGCTTCCTGCCTCATCCCACGCCCCTCGGGGTCCACAGACAGGATCGAAGGTCGACAGAGACAGGGGCAGCTTTCCTAGGACTCAGAGGGGCGCTGCCCAGGGTGGAACCAGGCCTGCTGGGGGTCAGGACTGTCCCTGCAGTCAGGGGTGGCATCACTTCCCACCTCACCCTGTGCCCCCCGGGGGTCCACAGACAGGACAGAGGTTGGTGTGAGACAGAGGCGGCTTTATTAGAACTCAGAGGGGCACTGCCCAGGGTGGAACCAGGCCTGCTGGGGTCAGTTCTGCAGAACTTGGGTCTGGGGGAGCAGCTGGGGTCCCCCGTGCAGCCAGCATCTGGGAAGGACTGGGGGAGCATCCTGGTCCCTGAGACAAAGAGCCTGCCCCATATTCTGAGGGTGTCAATGCCAGAGAGGGAGGAGCTGGCTGGGACCCCTTGGAGGTCAGCCCCAGGTGGGAAGAGACTCTGGATGACATTCAGCGCCGTCAGCAGCTGGACTTCTGGCCAGAGCAGAGGCTGTAGCAGGCCGGGCGGGAGCACGTGGGGCGGCAGAGGAGGGACACGCAGGAGGCCGGGTAGCAGCAGCTGGTCTGGCAGGAGGAGACGGGCACGCAGCAGGTGGACCTGCACACGGGGCGGCAGAGGAGGGACACAGAGGAGGAGGGTCTGCAGCAGGAGGTGGTGCAGCAAGCTGGCTGGCAGCTAAACTGCTGGCAACATGATGTGGAAGCCCCAGAGCAGACAGACTTGCAGCAGACGGGCACACAGCAGGCCTGCTGGCAGGGGGAGGAGGTGCAGCAGGCTGGCTGGCAGCTAGATTGCTGGCAGCATGAAGAGGAATCCTCAGAACAGGTGGGCACACAGCACACAGGCTTGCAGCAGACGGGCACACAGCAGGACTGCTGGCAGGAGGAGGAGGTGCAGCAGGCTGGCTGGCAGCTAGATTGCTGGCAGCATGAAGAGGAATCCTCAGAACAGGTGGGCACACAGCAGACAGGCTTGCAGCAGACGGGCACACAGCAGGACTGCTGGCAGGGGGAGGAGGTGCAGCAGGCTGGCTGGCAGCTAGACTGCTGGCAGCACGAGGGTGTGCAGAAGCTGGTGCAGCCTGATTGGCAGGGGCTGGCCTCACAGACCACCTGGCAGCAGGGGCTGGACACACAGCTCACTGGGGTGCAGACCAGGGTCAGGCAGGGGGCCAGGGTGCAGCAGCTGGGGGTGCAGCATGGGGGCTCACAGCAGCTCTCTGGGCAGTCGTCCACCTGCCAGGAGTCAGAGCAAGAGTCACAGGGACCAGGAAGGCAGACGCGGCTGCCATAGCTCATGTTGCTGGAATAGACGGACGTGGTGGACGCGGCCATGCTGGGGGTGAACTGGCGGAGGGTGAGGGAGTGAGCGGATGAGGGAGTGAGCCTGTGAGGTGCTGGGGTTCTCGGGCTTTTATTCCCCCTGGCCTTGTTGTCGCCGGGCCCACAGCTTCCCCTTCCGTGTTGCTGAAAGCTGGAGTCTGCCGGGATTAGGGGTGTTTGTTTGCCTATGATGTGGCCCAGCTCATAAATCTCCCGTCACATCTGGGCTGTGTCCCATCCCACGTGGATCCCTGGGGGCAGGAGCTGGGGTGGGCCTGGTCCAAGCTGGGTTCTGGCAGCTGGGAAAGCTGCAGGCAGGGGCATTGTCCAGTCCTGGCCCCAGCAGTCCCAGGACACAGACTCCCTCTGCAGGCAGCTGGCCTTAGGAAGTGTTCTTGTGGTGGAAACTCCTCATCCAGCGTGGTCCTTCCCCCATCATGGGACGCAGGACTGTGGCCGTCTTCTGAGGGACAACCTGGTTCCCAGCAGCCTTCATTGACCTGCCCGGGGCCATGCGGGGGCAGCTGTACCTGTGCCCAGATCTCTTGCCTCTGAGCTCTGGACGACTTCTCATCCCCACAGCCTCTGCACCTCCTGCCCTGTTTCGTGCCCACCTTGTCCTTGTGTTTCGGAGGCAGCAGGACCTGTGTGTTCTAGGCAAGGACGGTGGGCTCGGCCCCTCCCTGCTTAGACAGCATGACATCCTCCTGGGCTGTGGTTTTGGGTTCTGAACCTGCAGTGTAACCAGGCTGAGCGGTGGCAGTCAGCAGCCCTCGTCCCCGCCTAGGGTGGCTCCTCTGTGTGCTCTGCTTCTCCGAGGCAGCCCGTCAGTCCCCACCCAGCCTCCTGCGGGGCCCATTTCCCAGCCCTGTCTTCCAAGCCCTGTGCCAGGCCTCTTAGTGTCACCACCTTAAAATTAAGGGACATCTGTCCAAAGAACCCGCACGGAAGACACAAAATGGGTCCAAGGGACATTGATCTCACTGCAACCTTATTGCCAGTGTAAACCAAACATAAAGCTGAAGCCCCTCAACTGACTAAATGGACCCCATCTTGGTCATGGGGACCCCTGAAACACTGTGTTCCTGGCCATGACAGGGAGGGAGGTCAGACATGCCGCGTTACACCCCCTCCCTTTAGGGTTTAGACACCAACACTGCCCCGTATTAAAGTTAAAATAGAGACGGTAAGACCCACAGAACAGACTCTGTGACAACAAGATATCAAATTACAAACAGGACCTCAGGCCACACCAGGCAAGGGTCGAGCTGAGTACCCTACACTGAGAGGACGGACTCTGCTCTCACACCACGGCTGCTGCCTTTTCTCCAGCGGCTAAACACGCACTGGCCCTGCCATGAGGATGAGCAAGATTCAAACGACCACGGCCCATCCACCTGCAGACGCCAACTGACCACGTCCCACAGCCGTGACCACAGCTCTGATTGGGCGGGAGACTGACTTCAGGAGCCTCCTCCTGATAAGGGACCCAGACCGTGGACCGGCTCCAGCTGATTTACAGAAGCTGCCTCTTGAGAGCCTTGTGTCCTGAGAAGACCTCCGAGGTTTACAGCCTCACTGAGACACACTGACGTGTTAAGATTCCACCCTACAGGAAGTCCTTTTTTTTTTTTTTTTTTTTTAATACGGAGTCTCGCTCTGTCTCCCAGGCTGGAGTGCAGTGGCGCAATCTGGGCTCACTGCAAGCTCCGCCTCCCGGGTTTCCGCCATTCTCCTGCCGCAGCCTCCCGAGTAGCTGGGACTACAGGCGCCCGCCACCACGCCCGGCTAATTTTTTGTATTTTTAGTAGAGATGGGATTTCACCGTGTTAGCCAGGATGGTCTCGATCTCCTGACCTTGTGATCCACCCGCCTCGGCCTCCTAAAGCACTGGGATTACAGGCGTGAGCCACCGCGCCTGGCCAAGAAGTACATTTTAAGTGGTCCATATTCAGAAAACAGGCCCTGGCAAGTCCAGGCAGCTCCCTTGCAGATGTGACAAGCCACACGGTACAGACATCTGGGAAGAGTGATAAGACTCACAGAAGTCAGAGGGGAGGAAGCAAAAGTGGGGGACGGTTAACCCATAAAAGGAAAGAAACTTTTGCCATTGAGAAATCAAAACGTAAAGTGGGGAAAGGGACAAGCTGTAACCTTATAAGGGGATAATGAAACCTAGGTGACGTCCGGGAAGACTGCGACCCCACAGGACTCAGGCTGCGAGGAACGGGGGAGGGACCTGCACGCTAGGGGATAAATTGCTTGTTGAAACTGTGCTGGGTGTGCCTGCCCATCAGACACCTGCTCTTGTAAGACCGTCATTAGAGTCTCACTTTCACTGTTCCTCACGCCTCTACTTCCATTCTTTGGATTTGGACGGGTGACCGTGTTTCTCACAACCCCAGGGTGAAAACAGGTTGTATGTTACATGCATGTTTGTTCGTTTCCTCCTTCATGAATATTCACTATTCCTCCATAACCTATTGCACACGTGTATTTAGCCAACCTGGTCAGCGTGGAGCTCCTGCCCCAGCCCCTCCCGTTCTGAAGTGCCTCCTCCTGGCCCTGGTCTTGGCCAGAGCTGTGCTTCCCAGCCTGCAGGACGGCCTTCTTGCAGGCTGTGCCCCTGTAGAAGAAACAAAGTCTCCTCTTTTTTTCCAAACTTACAGATCTGTGATTTTTTTGAGATGGAGTCTCAATCTGTTGCCCAGGCTGGAGTGCAGTGGTACAATCTCAGCTCACTGCAGCCTCCACCACCCGGTTCCAGCAATTCTCCTGCCTCAGTCTCCTGAGTAGCTGGGATTACAGGCATAAGCCACCATGCCTGGCTAATTTTTGTATTTTTAGTAGAGACAGGGTTTCACCATGTTGGTGAAACCAGGCTGGTCTCAAACTCCTGACCTCAAGTGATCCACCTACCTTGGCCTCCCAAACATGCTAGGATTACAGGCCTAAGCCATTGCACCTGGCCAGATTGTGATTTTTTTAAGTGAACACAAGCAGTCACTCAATTCTCCTCTCAGGAAGCAGCTACTTCACCCATTTATTCTCTTTCTCTCTGTCTCTCTCTGTCTCTGTCTGTCTCTGTCTGTCTGCCTCTTCCATGTATGCACACACACACACACACACACACACACACACACAACTCCTTCTCATTATTCCCAGAGGTTCTGTTCTATAAAGTCTCCACCAGCAGCGAATAACCAAATACTGAACCAGTGCTCCTACAGGAAGAAGCACAGGATTATGGTCTCATGAGCCTCTGATCACAACATTCTCATCAACCAATCAATGCATAGACATGTCTTATGAGTGCTTCCGTCTAAAGACACCTTATTGAATCTATATAGTTGATTTATCAACACTGAACTCACAGCCAACGGCCCCGTAGAGCCTGAATGAAGTTGGTTGAACACATGTGTTTTCTCTGTAAGACGTGCTGGAGCCTTCTGAGCTCCGGACACCGAGCAGCACAGCAGCACTGTATTGGGACACTTTAAACAACAAGATCGCAGCATCAGGGAGGAACGCGCGGCACTGAGGAGAACGTAACAAGGACACCTGTTTACCATATGCGAGCTGAGACAGGAAAGCAAAACATCACCTCATTCTGTTATGCATATTGTCAACAGATATGTACATACACATACATACATATAATGCCTCTGTATACATAAATTTTTAAAATACAAATTATGTCATACTCTACCTACTATGCTTTTGTAAACATGGAGCTCCCTTCCTATGCATACATCATGATCTCTCTCTTGTTTACAGCTGCATAGAATTCCATGTTGGTCTGTGTGTTCATTTTCCATTGCATGTAATGAAGTACCACAAGCTTAGTGGGTTCAAATAACACACATTTATCATCTCAGTTTCTGTGGGTCAGAAGTCCAGGCACAGTTAAATTGGGGTCTCTGTAGGGCCGTATCAGAGTGTCTCATCTGAAGGTTCAATTGGAGAAGGATCCACTTCCAAGCTCATGTGATTGTTAGCAGAACTCAGTTACTTGCAGCTTCTTGGACTAAGTGCCTCAGTTTCTCACCAGCTGTCAACCGGAGGCTGCCACCATCTCTTTCCATGTGGCCTCAATGGGCAGCTCACAATGTGCTGGCTTCTTCACAGCCAGCCAGGGAGACAGATTCCTCCCAAGATGAGCATTACGACCTTACGTAAGGGGATCATGCACGTCCCATCACGTCTCTGTGCTCCTTGTGTCTATACACATGTCACAGGCCCACCCACACTCAAGGGGTGTGGGGCACACAGCCAATGACCACCAGGAGGTGAGGGATGTGGGGCCACCCTAGAGTCTGTTTCCCACTGTCTGGACAATCTCATAGCTGTGATACCTTTGCACATACCGTGTATCCACCCAGGAGTATCTACAGGATGTCAGCCTAGTGATTCAGGCTCAAAGGCATGAGATTTTGAATTTTAATGCATAGCAGCAAACTGCCAGCCAAAGCTGTGGAACCATCCTCAGCCCAGCAGCAGCGAGTCATCTGGGTGGTCTGCCCACACTCTCACCAACCCGTAGCGGGAACATCAATGGTTTCCATTTTTTCCAATATAAAAAATGATATATGGCCATGAAATTTGTTTTATCTCATTTTAAATGGGGCCGAGCATGTTTTCACATTTAAGAACCATGTATATTTCTTTCAGTTGTCCCTCTGTATCCTTTGCTCATTTTCTGTTATGTTGCTGTTATTGAACTTAACTTGTGGGAGCTCTTTGGATATTAAGTAAATTAGCCCTTTCTCTGATATATGAATAGGAAATGTGTTTCCCATATTGTAGTTTGTCTTTCGACTTGGTTTATGATGTTTTCTCTCCTGCAATTTAAAAATTCTTATGTAATTAGTTTTATCGGCTTTTTAGATGGCTTCCGTGTTTTACTCAAAACTTAGAATAGCCCTTTCTACTCTGAGATGATTTTTCTTTCCTTTCCTACCATTATCGACAGGTGTATTAACATCTCCCACTATGATTTTCCCTTTTCTCTATTTCTACTTTTAGCTGTCAGTTAAAAAATTAAAAAACAGTTTTTATTTTAATTTTTTAATTTTATGTTTTAAGCTATGTAATTAGATACATCCAAATTTAGAATTGTTACATCTTCCTGGTAGGTTGACTCTTTTAGCTTTATACATTTCTTTCTTCATCTCTATTGCTCTAAAATCTACTTTTTCTGATATTCATAAGTCACGCCAGCATTTTAGTTAGTGTTTGCATGGTGTATTTTCTTCCATTTTGTTACTTTCAAGCTTTCTGTGCTCTTTTTCTTTTTTTCTCTCTCTCTCTTTTTTTTTTTTTGATGGAGTATCACTCTTGTCACCCAGGCTGGAGGGCAGTAGTGCGATCTCAGCTCCCTGCAACTTCCACTTCATGGGTTCAAGCGATTCTCCTGCCTCAGCCTCCCAAGTAGCTGAGATTACTGGTGCCCACCACCATGCCCAGCTAATTTTGTATTTTTAGTAGAGATGGGGCTTTATACCATGTTGGCCAGGCTAGTCTCGAACTCCTGACCTCAGGTGATCCGACTGCCCTAGGCTCTCACAGTGCTGGGATTACAGGCAGGAGCCACGGCACCTGGTCTCTGTACTCTTGTATTCAGGTTCTGTATCTGGTAAGCAGCATGTAGTTGTTAGGTTTTCTATTTTTTATTCAGATCAACAATATATTTTAATTGGAATATCTGATACTTTAACTTATTGACTGATATTTAGTTTATACCTATCTACCATCTGATTGTACAATTTCTATTTGTCCCAAATTTTAATGATTCTTTTAAAAATCACTTCCTGTCTATTTTGGATTAATCAAGTTTTTTTTATTATTTATTTTCCTTCTTCTGTTCTATTCATTATTCATAAGATATGGCAAGGCTTCTCTTCAAACAGTGTGCTCAACCTTTCATTCTTTAATTCCTAGTACCCCGCCCCCTCTCTTTCTTCTCCTTTTCTACTTTCTGACTTTACTACATGCCCAGGCATGCCGCAGCATCGGTGGTGTTATCAGCACCAGCTCACATTCCATTCCGTGTTTAGGAAAAGACTGGCTCTCCAGTTTGCCATAGATGACCCCTTCCTCCTCTCCCATGTCTCCCATTACGCATCCACCTTATCTAAGAAAGTTTAAATGTTTAGCCAGTCAGGTCTAGTTTAAACTGTGCAGTCCAACCGCAGCCAATGGGGAAAGGACACGGGGCAGGAGTCTTGTTAGGAATAAAAACTTCTAGTGTCTTTTGTTCTGTGTGCTCTCGTGGCAACCAGCCATATGGGAAACACCCTTCTGCACAGAAGTAAATTTGCTTTGCTGAGAAATCCTTTGTCTAAGTGCCCATTTTTCCTTACGACTCTGAGCCTTACTTCTAACATTATTGTTTGTACATAGTTTTTGCTATCTCTTCAGTGGTCACTTTAGAGATTATAGCACACATTCTTAGATTATTCAAGTGTCAGCATTCATACATCAGCATTTCTACCACTTCCAAAGCAATCCTGAAACCTTAGAAAACTTTCACTCCATTTATCCTTCTCACCTTTTATTGTTAATGTCATCATGCATTACTTCTCTGCTTGTAGTTTAGACCCCACAAGACATTATAAATATAATAATATTACCCTTTCAGATCCTCCTGGTTCTTTCCTGCATTTTTATCTTTCAGTCATCCTGCCTGAAAAATTCCCATTCACAGTTACTGTAATGTGGGTCTGCTCATGTTCAATTTGCTCAGTTATTATCCAGAAATGTTTTGTTTCACTTTCACCTTTGAACAATGTTCTTCCTGGTCTAGAATTCTAGGCTTGCAGTGATTTTCTTTCAGCCCTTTAAAGATGTCATTCTATTACCTTTAGTTTTTTCAACAGCTCTTTTATGAGAGCTTTCAAGGAATCATTTTTAAAACATTTTGTTCAGCTTTTCAGGTTGTTCTCAGCAGAAGTATATGTCTGACACAGCTACTTTGTCCCAGATGGAAACAGAGGCCCCCATTCTCTCTCTCTCTCTCTCTCTCTCAATCTACTTCCATCCTATAGGACCAGATCCTATACCTCTGGAGGAACCAGGCCATGCTCAAATTTATATTATTTTTATAGTTCAAAATATACAGAAAGACAATTCATCCCACCACGTAACTGACTTTCTAGCCCTCTGAGGCCTTTTGTACTTTTCTTAAATCCCCTAGGAGTTAAGAGGCCTGGACTGGGAAACACAGATAGAGACACAGAACTCCCTGAGCCTCTGAGGTTTGCCTGGGCATCAAACCCCACCAGAAGGGCCCCTGGAGCCCTCTCACCTGGAAAGGGGCCACTCCTCTGGGCCCCATGCATGCTGGGCTCTGCCCAGTCATCACTGACATCACCAGCCACCAAGCAGCCCACCTCCCTCCCTGGTGGGGCGCACCGTCAGGGCTACTGACCCTTCACCTTCACATTCTCAGCACCTGGTGCAATCTCCAGCACAGGGGAGGACTCACTGCATCGTGAATAAATGAATGCTTGAGAAGTAAAAGTATCAGATAAAATCGGAAACATTTAGCAGAAAGAACCAAAAAGACGTGATGGCCAATTGGATATTATTTGCAGAAGAAATGGAGACTTAGATCAGATGTCTAGCTGGGGTGACCAAGGACTTAGTGAGCAATCAAGAAAATACACTGGAAGCGAAAGCAGTGCCCTCTGCTTCTCACACAGCAGTGCTGTCGCGGGTGGCTGTGCTTTTCGCGGAGGAGATGCATTAGGTGTTCTGGGTTAGACTCACAGGGTCGCAGTGTTCGGGATAAAAGCAAATGGAGATGGGAGGCCCCATACGGGGATCTGGGACCTCCCTAAGTGCCCATATGGAAGAGGGGGTGCACAGCCCCCTAGGAACTACTGTGAACCTGACGGCAAATGGCTCACACCACTGTCCACCCTTTCCCATTTGCCACTTGCTCTAAAGCCCTTGAGGGGGGACTTCATACAACAGAGAGAGTGTGGGGAGTCACTTCTAGGAACGTTCCACCCTCACGCCATCACTGACTGGGGTTTCTTGAGCCTGGCATTCCAGAAGCCACAGCCACCCAGACAAGCAGAGTCCCCTGGCGATGGCCCACAGACACTGGGATTAGGATGGATGGATCTCTCCTGCAGCCAGCATAGGCCCCCGTGACACTCTATTTCCAGACATTCTACCCTGTCTACTTCAATATTATGCTCTGGAGCCAAAGGAGGTGATGGTGTGTCAACAGACCCAAATATAGACTCTGGACTTCACAAACTGAACGGCATCTCATAGGACTAAACATGAAACTCACACTAATAAGAGTTCTCTAGGTTTTAAACACAAACAAGGAAGGGGTGGGAGTTGTTGACACTCCAGCTGGGACAACAGGCCAGGGACAGATATAAAAGCCAACATCCTTGAGCACCTAACACACACACTCACTCACCCACTCACCCACTCACTCACCCACTCACCCACCCACTCACCCACCCACTTACCCACTCACCTACCCACTCACCCACTCACTCAACCACTCACTCCCGTCTCCTCCAGCTCAACCCCCAGCATGGCCGCGTCCACCATGTCCGTCTGCTCCAGCAACATGAGCTACGGCAGCCGCGTCTGCCTTCCTGGTTCCTGTGACTCTTGCTCTGACTCCTGGCAGGTGGACGACTGCCCAGAGAGCTGCTGTGAACCCCCCTGCTGTGCCCCCAGCTGCTGTGCCCCGGCCCCCTGCCTGACCCTGGTCTGCACCCCAGTGAGCTGTGTGTCCAGCCCCTGCTGCCAGGTGGCCTGTGAGCCCAGCCCCTGCCAATCAGGCTGCACCAGCTCCTGCACGTCCTCGTGCTGCCAGCAGTCTAGCTGCCAGCCGGCTTGCTGCACCTCCTCCCTGTGCCAGCAGTCCTGCTGTGTACCTGTCTGCTGCAAGCCTGTGTGCTGTGTGCCCGTCTACAGTGGGGCTTCTTCTTCATGCTGCCAGCAGTCTAGCTGCCAGCCAACTTGCTGCACCTCCTCCCCCTGCCAGCAGGCCTGCTGTGTGCCCGTCTGCTGCAAGCCCATCTGCTCTGGGATTTCCTCTTTGTGCTGTCAGCAGTCTAGCTGTGTGAGCTCTGTGCCCAACCCCTCCTGCCAGGCGGCCTGTGAGCCCAGCCCCTGCCAATCAGGCTGCACCAGCTCCTGCACACCCTCATGCTGCCAGCAGTCTAGCTGCCAGTCAGATTGCTGCACCTCCTGCCCCTGCCAGCAGTCCTGTTGTGTGCCCGTCTGCTGCAAGCCTGTGTGCTGTGTGCCCACCTGCTCTGAGGACTCCTCTTCATGCTGCCAGCAGTCTAGCTGCCAGCCAGCCTGTTGCACCTCCTCCCAAAACCAGCAGGGCTGCTGTGTGCCTGTCTGCTGCAAGCCCATCTGCTGTGTGCCTATCTGCTCTGGGGCTTCCTCTCTGTGCTGCCAGCAGTCTTGCTGCCAGCCGGCTTGCTGCACCTCCTCCCAAAGCCAGCAGGGCTGCTGCGTGCCTGTCTGCTGCAAGCCTGTGAGCTGCGTGCCTGTCTGCTCTGGGGCTTCCACTTCATGCTGCCAGCAGTCTAGCTGCCAGCCAGCTTGCTGCACCACCTCCTGCTGCAGACCCTCCTCCTCCGTGTCCCTCCTCTGCCGCCCCGTGTGCAGGCCCGCCTGCTGCATGCCTGTCTCCTCCTGCTGTGCCCCCACCTCCTCCTGCCAGTCCAGCTGCTGCCGCCCGGCCTCCTGTGTGTCCCTCCTTTGCCGCCCTGTGTGCTCCCGCCCGGCGTGCTGCGGCCCCACCTCAACCCAGAAGTCCAGCTGCTGAGTGATCTCCTTAAGATCATCCAAAGCCGAGTGCTCACTGCCCCTGCACCCCTGGGTTCTTTACCCTTGACGGCTCTCCACATCCCGCTCCTGAGCCCTGCAGTGTGCGTCAGTGGCCAGCTGGCCACCCAGTGTGCACTTCTCCTCCTAGCAGCAGCTCAGCTGTTTCTCCAAGTCTTGACTTTCCCCCAGTTACCCAGCCCTGCCTCCCCAGCAACAGGTGGGCAGTGACCCAGCAAAGTCAGTGGGTCCTCCCAGCCCATGACCCGGTGTGGGGAGAAACGAGGGTAGACACGTATCCGGTGTGGGTTTCTCGTCACTGCCCTGGCCCAGTGGCAAGCTCTGCTCCTCCCCTGCTGTGGGCCTGGGCCTCTTTCTCTGTCTTCCCTGACCATGGGAACAGGTCAGACCCTTCTAATAAATTCCTTTCCTGAAAAGTACAACTGGAATTCATTCTTGTTGTTCACAACCAAAGACCCCTGCCTGATGCCCCCTACCCATGGGTGGTCCTGGGCTGCTCCCACGCCACGAGGTCCCTGTCCTTCCCAGGTGTCCTGGCAGCCCCGCCCCACCCTCACCACAGGGGTGTCCGAGGGGTAGGCAGGCCTGAGGGATGGGAGAGGTGAGTGATCCAACAGCAGCGCCTGTCCTGGGTGGAGCTGCCCTGGGGGCTCCCCGGAAACTGGGTTGTGTCCAGCCCCTGGCTCCAGAAAGGAAACCCCATGGCCGTGTGTGCAGAAAAGGTCCACACAGTGGGCAGGGACGGCCGTCCTGAGGCCTACTGGCTGGTCTGGCCTTTGGCTAGAATATGGCAACTGGGATTTCCGAGGGGCTTACCCCGCCCCACTCACTGGGCCTGAGCTGTTTGTACCACGTCGTTTAGGCAGACACTCCCGTCCCCGCTGGGAGTCTCTGGAATTCTGGCACAGCCCAGGCAGAAGCTGCTCATGTGACCAATCCCTGGGTACACCACCAGGCAGGGCGTCCCCAACGTCACACACGCAGAGTCCCAGCTACTTGCAAGGGGAGTAAGGGCGGTCCTGCGTGACCCCTGCCCCGGGAGAGGCCTCCAAAGCTGAGCTTGGTGCCCCTGGACTTGGTCCCAGGCATCCTTCTCTTGGCTGATCTTTCTCAGTGTCCTCTCCTGTGGGAACTCACAGCCGTGAATACCACGACCTCTGTGGCCTGTGTCCTCCTAGAGAATCGCCACCCTGAGTGGCCTTGGGGCCCCAGGGTGCCCTTCCCAAGTGACAACAATGCTGTCCTAGGACAGTGCTGGGCACATTTCTGGTGGTGCTTCCTTTGACTCCTGCTCCAGATGGGGTGGAGACAGAGGAGGAGGCTGGGTGAGGCCAGGCCATCGTGGGTTTCACGAGGAGCAGAGCCGTCCTGCGCCTGCAACAAGCCATCCCTCCCCTGTGGTGGCCACAGAGGCTGTGACCTGAAACTCTGGCGTGGGGCTGGAGCACCAGCAAAGAATAAGCCCCCACATACCCCACCTGGCATGAGGGCTGCACCCTAAGTCGGCAGCCAGGCTTTGCCTCACTGGCTTCCCTCTGGCTGTCCAGGAGGCACCAAGAGGACCATGTGGTGAGCCCCCCAACTACAGGCACCTGAATCCCACAGACAGCAAGACGGAGGGGCCTTGCTCAGAGAAGCACGTCCTCCTCTGAGCATCCCAGACTTGGCTCTTCCCCCAGGGCATGGCCCCAGCAAGCATCCAGGCATGTGAGCTTCTGTGCAAACACACCCCCACGCCCCGGGTGTGAACTTCAAGGGAGGTGTGCTGTGGGGGAGAAACATCAAGTTCCTTTCCAAGGTGGAACTTCAGAGGCTCGCGCAGAGGAAGGGCGCACCAGGGGGCTGGGCGGAGAGAGGAGGCCTCCTCCAAGGGGCCATTCTCAGCTGCACCACAGAAGCTGACGGTGGCTGAAACTGCCCTTTGTCACCTGGACATTCACTATTTGCCCCTTGTCAACAATGCCTACTGCCATCCTTGGTGAAAGAACCAATATCTCATAAAAAATGCAAAAGGCACAAATCATTAGAGAAAATGTTGACAATCTTGAATGCAGTAAAATGCACACAAAAGCACAAGCACGCAACCAAAGTTCCCACCAATCCCATCCAGAGAAGCCACCTGTGGGGCATCTTGGGTAGTCTGCGGGCTCACTGTCTCCCTCCTGGGCACATGGGCTGGCAGGTTCCAGCCATTTGCAGTTAGTTAGGGCCACACGATGAGTTTCTATTGGTTAAACGTGCATGAGGAGATGTTTGCCACTTCCCGGCCACAGGTTCTGGGAGCCCTGCTGCCTCTCTTCCTTGCCAGGCTATCTTGGAGGCTCCCGTGCCAGAGTGGGTCCACAAGGTAGGGGCACGGCATGCTTGGATGGCGATGTGAGGAGTGGGGAAGGCTTTGTGGGCTTAAGCCATTGACGTGCTGAATTCTGTTGGTTTCTGAACCAGCACTGATTACCTTCACCAACAGTATGTAACAAAGGATTCAAATTCAGAATTTATAAAGAAAACATTAAAAGAAATTACTAAAAGAGATGGAAATACTCAATTATAGGATAAGATGTCCAATGGCCAAAAATCATAGGATAAGATAGCCAATCTCACTGATGATCGAGACACCATGCACAAAAATTAACTAGGGGTGAACCCTAGACTTAAATGTCAAAGATAAAATAATGAGATCTCTATATAAGATCACATCACCAGCAGAGACAGTCTCACTTCTTTCTTTCCTATGTTAGTATCTTTTATTTCTTTTTCTTGCCTAATTGCTCTGGCTAGAACTTCCAGGACAAGAGTGGGCATCCTTGCCTTGTTTTTGATCTTAGAGAAAGAGCTTTCAGCTTTTCACCACTGAGTATGGCGTCAACTGTGGGCTTGTTGCATATGGCCTTTATCACGATGAGGTGCATCTCTTCTATATCTATTTTCTTGAGAGTTTTAATCATGAATGAACGCTGAAGTTTTTCAAATGTTTCTTTTGCATCTATTGAGATGATCGTGTGGTTTTTGTTCCTAATGTTAGTGTGATGTATCACATTTATTGATTTATGTATGTTGAACCATCCTTGCATCCCTGGGATAAATCTCACTTGATCATAGCGAATGATCTTTTTAATGTGCTGTTGAATTCAGTTTGCTAGTCTTTTTTTTGAGGATTTTTGCATCTATATTCATCAAGGACATTGGCCTGTAGTTTTCTTTTCTTGTAAAGACTCTACCTGTTAGTCTTCAAACTGTTAGGACTGATAAACAAATTTAATAAAGTTGCGAGTTACAAAACCAACATACAAAAATTAATAGCATTTCTATATACTAACAATGAACAAGGATCCAAAAAAGAGATAAAGAAACAATAGCATTAAAAAGAGTTTAGAAAGATATTTAAGCAAGGAAGTGAAAGATCTGTACACTGAAAACTACAAAACATTGATGAAAGAAATTGGAGAAGAAATTGGAGAAGACACAAATAAATGGAACAATGTCCCATATTCATGGATTACAAGAATTAATATTGTTAAAATGTCCATACTACCTAAAGCTATCTACAGATTCAATGCAATCTCTAACAATTTCAATATCATTTTTACAAATACATAGAAAAGAACAATCCTAAAATTCATATGAAACCATAAAAGACTCTGAATAGCCAACAGTCTTGAGTAGGAAGACTTTGAATAGTCAACACAGTTTTGAGTAGAAAGAACAAAGCTGGAGGCATCACACTCCCTAATTTCAAAATACTTTAAAGCTATTGTAATCCAAACACCATGGGACTGGCATAAAAACAGACATATCAACCAATGGAATGGGACAGAAATCCCAGAAGCAAACCCAAGTGTTTGCTGTCATTTGATTTCTGGCAAAGGTGCCAAGAACAAACGATGGGGAAAGGACAGACTCTTCAATAAACGGTGTTGGGAAAACTCAATATCCATGTGCAGAAAACTAAAATTGGACCCTCATCTTACGTCATATGCAAAAATCAACTCAAAATGCACTGAAGACCTCAGCATAAGACCTGAAATGTGAGACTGCTAGAAGAAAGCATAGTGGAAAATCTCCATTACATTGGTCCAGGCAATTATTCCTTGAATAGGACCCCAAAAGCACACCCAACAAAAGAAAACATAGACAAATGGGATTGCATCAAACGAAAAGCTGTACAGCCAAGGAGACAATCAACAGGGTGAAGAAACAATCCATGGACTGGGAGAAAAAAATCTGCAAACCATATATTTGACAAGGGGCTACTGCTCACAATAAGGAACTCAACCCAGTAGCAAGAAAATAAATAACCCAATTTAAAAATGGACAAAACAGCCTGGCAACAGAGCAAGACCCTGGCTCAAAAAACTGTAACTACATAAATAAATAAAAATGAGCAAAAGACCTAAACAGACATTTCTCAAAAGAAGCCATTTAAATGGACAGCAGGTATATTTAACAATGCTCAACATCACTGGTCATCAGGAAAACGCACATTGAAGATGCAATGAAACATCACCTCACACTTGTCAGAATGGTTCTTATCAAAAAGATGAAAGCGAACAAGTGTTAGGGAGGATATAGAAAAGAGGGAAGTCTTGTACACTGTTGGTGGGAATCTAAATTAGTACAACCACTACAGGAAACAGTATAGCGGTTCCTCAGAAAACTAAAAATAGACCTTCCCTATGATCCACAAATCCCACTTCTGGGTTTATATCTAAAATAACTGAAATGATTCTGTTGGGGAGAGGTCTGCATTCCTATGTTCACAATAGCCTAGGTATGGAATCAATCTAAGTCCATCAATAGACAAATGGATAAAGAAAATGTGGCATATATACACAACGGAATACTATTCAGCCATGAAAAGGAGAAAAATCCTGTCATTTGTGACAACTTGAATGGACCTGGAGGACATTATGCTAAGTGAAATAAGCCAGGCACAGAAAGACAAACGGCATGATTTGTGTCTAGAATCTAAAACTGTCAAACTTAGAAACAGAGAGCAGAAAGGTGGTTACCAGAGGCTGGGGGCTACCAGAGGGGAGGAATGGGGGAAGGGAATGTTGATAAAAGGAAACAACAATTCCATCACACTGGAGGAAAAAGCTTTAGTGACCTATTGCATTGCATGGTGACACATAAAAATAATGTGTTGCATACTTCAAAATTGGTAAAAGAATACATTTTTAATTTACCAGAAAAATGGTAAGTTGGTAAGATGATGGTTATGTTAAGTAGCTCGATTTAATCTCTT